TGGAATTTCCAGCTGCTGGACTATGACCTGGGATGCTTCTGTCCAGCTGTGCAGTCCCTGTCCCTTTAAGACTTTCAAAAGCACTCACTTTTCTTTGTCCCCAGGGTGCTGGCTTCAGGACCCACTCACAGGTCTTACTGTCCTGCTTCCCTAGTTTCCAGCACCCCATGCACGCACTGTGTCTGTGCTCTGGTGCGGATGGCTGGGGCTGGGAGTTTAGCAGTCCTGGGCTCCGTCTCCCTCCCTGCTCCGACTCCTCTCCTCCCGCCGGGAGCTGGGGTGAGGGGCCTCAGGTCCCGCTGGGCTGTGGCTTGTATCTTACCCCTTTCACCAGGCACTGGGTTCTCAGAGGTGTGGATGTAGTCTGGCTGTTGTCCTGTGTCTTCTGGTCTCTCTTTTAGGGATAGTTTTATTTGTTGTATTTTCAAAAATATATATGTTTTTGGGAGGAGATTCCCACTGTCCTACTCATGCTGCCATCTTGGCTCCGCCTCTCCTTGGGATATATTTTAACTCCTTTTTAAATGTTGTACCTGTACTACCTTTTCGGGGAGTAGGTTTGTGGTTAGTTTCAACTTTGGTATAAAGTAACTCTCCATCCAATTTGAGTGTAATTCAGAACACTTGCCTCTAGAGGGTGATGCCTCATTATGGAGTACTGGGCAATTATTAAAATGTGTCACAGAACCTGGGTTAAAACTACAAAACAGAAAGAGAAAATAGACCAAAATTCTGTAACTATGAAGACCTTACCTTTGATCAGAAAAGTTAAAGGAATAAAAGTAGTTGTCTAAAATGTTTTTTATTAACCAGGAGGGGATTCTTTTTACCTCCTTAATACCCATGAAGCATGGGACCAAAGGCTGCTAAAGAAAAAAGAGAACATTTTGAGAGACCTTTTTTAAGTTAAGAAGAAATTATAGAGACAGTACATGAAAATTAATTTTTCTGAATTTAATGCTCTTGGGGATGGAGAGTAAAGAATAATGAAATTCATTGCAAGTAAAATGTTTTCTGTTAATTAAAAATGGCAACTGAAAAAGATTATTTTGATACTTGGCAACTTTAAGAGTGATGATACCTACCATACCCTATGATTCCGAGCACACCCAACATGAGCACCCAGAAGAGGAATGCAGCTGTGAACCTCAGGAGTATCACAAACAACCAGCTGAGGAGCATGGCGATAGTCAGGCCACTAGAGGAAAAAGCACATGATGAACAGAAGGACCAAGTGTGCTAAACGTAACATAATGAAAACAGCAAAAGAATGCTATTTTTCTATTCAAAATAATTCTCAGATTATTTTATTTTACCTGGCTATAGAAACACTTATAATGTTTAAAAGTATAAACAATGCTTTCTGTTAAGACTGTTACATGAAAGAGTAGGACCATCGGGGACTTTATACACGAGTCACCTTCATGTGCCTACATAAACTGAGGTCCAGTATCAATCATAGTTGGAAAAACCCAGTTCCACCAATCCACAATCTGCCACAATTGTTGGGTCCTACTTTTTTCTTTCACATTTACCCACTAAGTGATAAACCGTAAAATATCCATGATAAATTTATGCTGTTCTATCTACCTAAAAACTAATAAAACCTTATGAAATATAACTGTCTAGAAGTAAGGGAACAGTCTTAGGGAAAGAAGATAAAAATAACCGCCCCATACAGTTCCTGAATCCATGACTTTGCAGTCATTACCACTATGGGCTAATTATCTCAAATAGTTTTTAATGTCTGACATCACCAGACATCTACTTCAGGTTGCCAGTGATCTGTGGGCCATTTTATGGAGCCATGGTAAGGATTTGTGTCTCCTGGGCCATATGACTTCATCAAGCAATCAACAGCATGAGTATTCTTTAGTTTTAATTTCTTCCCCAAACATAGCAACAGACAAAGCCTGGTATATTTATTGAGTTTATTGTCTTCAAGTGTTATCTTTTTCAAAATCCTTAATAATTACTGTCACTGGCTAGATGACAGCATGGTATCAAAGTACTTTCTCAGGTCATATTCTTGCAGAGCTTATGATATTAAGTTCAGAAGCTTTTAACTTAACATTCCCTTTTAAAAATCATGGATACTCAGATGGTTGAATGATTTTTCTGTGGAATAATCCAAGGGGAATACTCAAAATGGTCTGAGGGGAAAGAAATGTGTTTGTTTATTCTGTGTGTTTTAAATTCCTAGATAAAAATCCCAACTGAATAAACCAAGTCCCAGTATATCAGTGTTTGGCTTTATATTTATGAAATAGATGAAAGCAGAGGAGTTGAAAAGAAAGGAGTCTCTTGTCTCGTGGTATGCGTGGTACCTGGGTGGAGAGGGTTTCAGGGTGTGTGTTGGGAGTGAGGCGGGCAGGAGTCTATCATAATGTATGCTTTTTCAGGTAAGAGTGGAAAGGCCAACATAAAGAAGAAATATGGAAATCATACAGTGATATTTGGGTCTGACAATGAGGGAAACAGTTTAACTACTGTCAAGTATAGAGATATATCCTGAAATCCTGATACACATTAAAGATAATTACTGTAATTATTTAAGGCAAAGCATCAAAATGAATAAAATCTCACAAAACTATCCAGTTTATAGCTCTAAAAATGACTCACTAGTATTTTCCACACTATACAATTTCAACTTTATTAGGCACCTTATAGTTAAATATTATCTATCTTGGTCCCCTAGTGTTTTGTAACTGTTCCTTGAACCCACATTTTCAATGCATCTCCTATGTTCCAAGAACCACACGAGGAGTTAGGAAAATAAAGATGAGTTAGGCATAGTTACTTTGGTAAGGTGTTCGTATTTATCAGAGGGAATGAGCCAGGTAAATAGAATACAAAATGGTAGATATGATAATAGAAGGCAGATATGTGTATGTGTATAAATATGTATATACACACAGTGGGTATGAGGAACACAGAGGGGGAAGAAATTAATTATATCTGGGGAAGTCAAGAAAGACTTCACAAAATCTGATTTTGAATAATGAGATGGATTGCTCAGGACACAGGGAAGGATATGCTGGGAAACAACAGAATGTGCAAAAACACGAGAGTTTAACAGTCTAGGGATAGGCATGCTATTTGATGTATTTAGCATATAGGGTTAACCAAGAAACATGAGCGAGGATGAATCTGGGAAATTCTTTTGGGCCAGGTTGTAAAGGGGTTTGTAAGTATCTGAAGTTTTCATTTTATTCTTTGATCTCTAGGAATCCATAGATGCTCTTAAGGCACAAGAAGGTACCATGGGAGCCAGGCAGTAAGGACGGTTTCAGCTGTATCAAACACATACACCTGCTCCAGAACAGTGACTGTATTTTCCCTTACATTTCAGGAAGATCTTCTTACGTCTGAAGATCTTAAATCTCCTATATTTTTCCAGCTTGTCACAACTGCAGTGACCTTTGATGCTGATGCTGATGACAGATATGTGGAAGGAATGTATTCGAAAATAAGAATGATATTTGGAGGTCAAGGGAGACACAAATGAGAAAACAGAACCAAGGAACAAAACTGCATTTGCTATAACATGATAAGAAGCAAATGCACTACAGATGCTGCCCCCTTGTGAACTTGAAGTGTCTAAGTGTACTTTTATTTAACAAATTTTAACAGAATTAAAATTTACATTCTTATAACTTTCTGCTAACACTGGGCATATTTCTAAATATCTTTGCCAAATCTTCATTCTGTCTGAAAAACAAAATGGCAAGAACTGAGATCTAAGCCAACCTTTATTCACAAATATGAATGGGGAATTTGAAGAATTAGTTCTACAAAGATAAAATCAGAATGGGACTGGAAAAGAAACACTTATGTTTCACTTACATGAGTATCCAATACCAAGTTGTAGCATAGTCTTCAAACACTTTCATTCCAATTGTTCTTGCTTGAAGGATTTTATTGACACCACTGAATTCAAAAAAGAAAAACAATCAATGATTTTTTTGACTACCACTAAACAGAAATGTTCTCATTATTATAAAAGAGATTTTGCAAGCTGTTGCTGAAAGCATATTTTTATAGACCATTCATGAGTACTGACTTTTTTTCTAAGCCACAACAATACATGAAATGTCACTTTGGTAAACCTAGGAAGATGGCTTTAACTATATGCAGAGAGAATGTTGTTTTCAAGAGTGGTGAACAGATCCTTTCCCAATGTACGTGATGTGCCCTCGATATTGCAAAAACCTCCCTATAAGAAATGAATTTAAATGATAAGATTAACTTTAAACCTACAAAACCCATAGAGTCAAGAATAAACATCATCTTTAAATTCCCTTCCTAATCCTCCGATAGCTTTGTATCAGGAAGGCATGATGGGAAATATAGAGAAAAGCTCACAAATCATTAGTGTCCAGTTTGATGAATTATCAAACCAGATGCTCTCAAGTAGCTACATTGTCATTCCTTTCTCTCATGTGCCCCAATTCTAATAGTTCTCTCTTCCCCTAAAGTAAATACAATCCTGACTTTTGTGATAATTATTTCCTAATTTTCTTTTTAGCTTTACCACTTTTACAGGCATTACAGGATAATTTAATTGAGTTGTGCTTGGTTTTGAACTTCATTATCAATGGAATTGTACTTGGTATTACCACTTTGTGATTTTCTTTTCACATAGCGTATTTGTGAAATTCATTCTTGTTGCTAAATATTCTACTAAATATGCAGGAACTGCACTATTCTACTTGGACTACTGAAGTCTTTTTGAGAAAGAAAAGTACTTTTTAAAAATATCTTTATTTTTCATTTTTAATTCAACAACTGAGCTATGCCATTATCCTCTGTGTGTTTATATTTGTGGGAATTCTCTTTCCCAATAACTCTGTGTACAGCCAAGGGAAACAATAATTTTACTTCATTATAGTTAATACACAGAAACTGATATGGTCATGGAACAGCATTTTCATCATTGTTCCACGTTTCTTAAGGCTCCCTTCCCTTTAAAACATCTGACAGTTTCATTATTTGTAATTTTTTTCAAACAGTGCTTTAAAAAGCATGGATTTTTAAATTATGTTCATTCAAAAAGTAAATTATGTTAAGGTCTTTTAATACATTTCCTGATATCTCATTTATATACCTGTTTGAAAATATCATTGTTCCCCCTAATTCATTCTGGTTTCTCCTTACACGCATTTCTTACTGAACACATACCAAGTTCTCCAATCCACATGTATATTTTATATAAAACATAAGTCTTCCTGTATGATGATCCTGAATCTAACAGAAGCTTTGGTCTTGGGTATAATAATAGGTTACATCAAAACTAAAAATGGGAACGTAAATAAACATACTTTGCAGCTGCCCTGAGTTCTATAACATTTCTTTTCTTTCCATTTCCATCTTCAAACATTGTCTTATTTCCTACTGTTAAAGTGCCATTTTTAGTAGAGAAGTCAGGGAAACATCTCTGGAGAACTGTAAAAAAAAATTAAAATAATGATGATCATTTCTACTTCTTCCCATTGGATGTCATCCCTTTATTAAGCTTTCTGTTATTTATAACCAAATTCTTGCTAGACAGTGTGTAAATTGCTCAGTATAGAAAATTGCCCATTAGTTGATGATCAGAAGATTTTCTGATGGCTCCAAGACTGACATAGAGAGAGAACACAATCACAATCTGCAGCTACATTCTAAACTTGTTATTTTATACATGGTATACTCACCAAGCAGCCGTAAGACACAACATACAGGTTTCAGAGGAGTAATACTGATAACCTATCCTTTACGGTAAAAAATAGTTAAATCAAAAGGCTGCATTTACTTCTATGACTGGATGAGTTTAGTTTTGTTATTTAAAAAATCTTAGATACTCTTTGAGTGAAACCTTGAAAACTGGATATTAGTGGGTAATTCTTGGGAAGCAAGAACCAGCTCTTACTTTAGGCTAAGACAACTGAATTATTATCTGTAAAGTCTTACTCATTTGTCTCTACAGCTTTCTCACTTATATGGTTTTTTGGAGGGGCTGGACATGGAAATTTTGAAACTATCAAAAATAACCCACACTTTGTATATTAGCATAATTTCTAAGAGTTAACTCACCATTCAATCTTCTACACGCTTATTTTGATTAAATAGAATCCTTGCCTCTTTGCATATCTGTATTACTAAAAATATTTTAAAACCCTGATTTCTAAATGAAGAGGGAAGAGAATTTGGAAATGGATCATTAAAAAATATTTTTTCTTACAAGAAGCAGCACAGATTTGCATGGGTTCATATGGAACTTAAACCTGAAAACATTTAAGCAGTTGATATCGAGAAAGAAGACATATGTCCTATAAAGCCTTTCCTGATTCTCCTGGCTTAAAACAATTGCCTGTATACCCACCTCCATCTTCTGTAGTACTCATATTATGACTGAGTCTTTCACTATCTTCCCCTTCTTTCTCCTGCTCTTCCCTGGCAAATTAGACATAGTGGTCTCTACCAGCTGGTTCAATTCCCTTTCAGTCTAATCATATTTCTGCCCCCACCACTCCATGAGACTTGTCCTCCCAAAGATGCCAATGACCTCCTAACTGCCAAAACTTCCAACATTTTTTAATCTTCATCCCATTGAACCCATTATCGAATGCAGTCCTTGGTACATAGCAGAACTCAGTAAATGTGTGCTGCTGAATGAGGCAACCTTTCTGAGTCTGGCACAGTAGATAACCCCTGTCTTTTGAAACTCTCCTTCCTTGGGTTACATGTCCAGATTCTCTCTTGCCTTCCATTTGGACTTTCTGTGCTTTATTTCACTGTAAACTTTTGAAACATGACTGTTCCCACCCTACAGAGTCCACCAGCCTTGTTCTACATATTATTTCTGGGCAACTTCATTCTGTTAGCTTCAATTACTAAAAATGCTCATTATGTATTTGGAAGTAGAAAAAATATGAAGAAAAATACAAACCATACATACTCCAACCCCCCCCTCCACGATGAACTATACTAACATTTTGGTGAATTTCCTTCCAGTCTGTCTTCTACAAGAATTTTTTTTTTAAGAATCATAAGCACACAGTACATGCAGTGCTTTCCCTTGTTTCTTTCTTCTGCTATTACTTATTTCCTTTTATAAATTCTTTTATGAGTGGATTTGATTGGCTACATACTATTTCATTAAGTACCCTAGTTAATCCCCTATTAGGGGGAATACCAGCTGATTGCAAGGCTTACTTTAATATTTCCCTCCCTAGAGTGTGAGGCACTATGTCTTATTCATTTTTGTTATCTCTCAATGTACTGTTTATACTATGTGATTTAAACAAACTCTACTTGAAAGGGCAGGAACCATATCTTATGCTTTTATACCTATTATATCCTCAGAAACTAATGATACATTTTTACCTCATTGTATAAAAAGTGTAACATAGTTCTTGGCAACAAACAACTTGTTGTCCAGGGCTTCCTGGCAAAATACAGATGCTTCCAGAACCATTATCTTTGCTTCAGGTTCTTTCATGATCCAGAGAAGAACGATGGAGCCTATAAGACATGGTATTTGGTGGTAGCTGCTCCAGTGGCACTCAACTTTCTACTCAAACTGGAGACTAATGCCTTTCTTCCATTTTAAAAGAAATATACTCATTGTGGAAAAATGGAGAAATAGAAAAAAGAGGAAAGAAGAGAGGAAATCTTCAGTTTTACCACCTCCAAAACAACCATTAATATTTTGGCAAATTTCTTTGTAATCTTTTTCCTTGAATAATTTTCTTTATTTTAATCTGTATATGTTTGTTATTATAATGCACATAGCATTTTGTTTAATATTATAATGTATACCTACACTTACATAAGTCTAAAATATTTCATTTAATGAATAGAACACAACTTATTTAAGTAATCTCTTGCTCTTGGACATTGGAGTGTTTCCTTTTCCTTTTCTTTTTTTGGGGGTGTTCTTTTGAATAATATTGTGATGGACATCTTCATGTAAATTTTTTTCTCTATGGTTAGAGATTATATCCTCAAGAAAGGAAAATAAGTCATTTTAGTTTCTTCTAAAAAGAGTTGAATTAAGTTTATAAATTTTAAAGAAATAAAATACAGCTTCATTCAGAAGACATATATTTCAAATCTCAAATTATAAGGATTATATGTCCCATCCTCACTCCCCAGGCAATTTCTGAACAAATTTTTTGACTAAATTCAGTGGTGAATATGTAAGAGTATGTCTCTATGTATGCTTGTGTGCTCATAGAACACCAAATAATCAATCTGGGCTTTTAAAAATCAATTTTCAATTCTTTTAAAATATTTGTTTATGAAGCAAAACTCACAGAGCTCCAGTGGAGATATTCTTGGCTAGAGTTAGGAGAATAGGTTTTAGCTATGCTGTTCTTTAACTCTGGTATCTTGTAGGACTATTCTTGGCCTCAGTTTTACCATTGTAAACTAAGGAAACTGTAACTTCTTGGTATATTCTGTGTTTCTAAGGTGAAATGATAACTACTTACAAGGTTTGCTTGGAAAAATCACTGTTGGACAATCATCATCCAGTAAAAGTTGTGCAAGAGTCTAAGAAAGAAGAATATGTTAACAGTTCAAAAGCTGTTATGATAACTTTCATTCTCAATATAAAAATTTTGTTCTTTAAAAATTTAATTTCATAATAGTTTCATTATTTCAAATTACTCCCCTAATAAGAGTAAGATTATCACACACATACATTCTTGTTGGACAAATGCTCTTAAGTTTCCTAATTGTAATTAAATCAAATCAACAATAATAAAACCAGACCTGCTGGTGCCAACGCACACCTTTGAAGGCATTTATATGTCTTAGTCACATCCTTAGTCGCTTATTTTTCCATTTTTTTCTGGAAAAACAGCATCTGCTCTAATTTAGAAGCCATTAATACTATTTGACATAATAAGGCTTTAGAATTCCCTTATAAATCTCAAACCTAGGTAGGGCTTTCGAATCTTCAAATAAATAATTATCAAACTGAGTTTGAAAGTAAATTTCTTGCTGTTACTAAATAGCATGAAGCTTCATCACCACACTAATGAAGTGGTGACTACAAGTGACATTAGCTCCTAGCTCTTGATAGCAAAAAATCCATCCAGGGAGAGCATTTGTTGGGATCAGGGAATAGTTTAAGTTAACTTATCAGACTTCACAGTCTTGCATAATATCCCAAGTCCACAAAATGATATGTTGTAAATGGTGTGTGCTTTTTGTATGTATATGTGAATTTGTGTTTTAATGGATTGGTTCCTTTAGTAATCATTTCCTACAAGATTTGGGAACTTGTCTAGTTACAAATTTTCATGTTATAGCTGAGATTGAAACAAAAGTTAAATTCTTCTTTAGTTTTAAGCTTAACTACACATACCTTTGCAGGTTTAACAGAATTGGACTTGCAAAACTGGCTGTAGTATGTCCAGTAGTTTTTGTCTTGTCTGTATGTAAATTGCATTTCCACATAGGTTAAAAATTTTTCTGGGCACTTAGACACACAAATCTGTAAACAAAAGGAACAGTGGTAGTAATTGAATTGAGGTGAATAAACCAGGGAAGTATCTATAAGGTTACACTTCTAAATTATACACCACTATAAGAGCAAAGTACTACCTAAGAAACTTTAATCAGTTTTCTAACTTACTGTAAAAAGTGAACTTTCATGTCCTTGTTATCAATCTCTACTTGCCCTCTGATGCTGATGTTCTATTAAAACAATAAGATGCTGTACATCTTAATGATGGGCTTATTTTTAACTTCTAATTTTGAGATAATTGTAGATCTATATTCAGCTGTGAGAAATAATAGATTCCACATACTTCTTACCCAGTTATGCCCAATGGTAATAACTTTTATAGCTGTAGTATAACAACCAGGAAATCAATATTGTTACAATCCACTAAATTTACTCCGATTTCACCAGTTATATATACATTCATTTGTGTGTGTGTGTATGTGTGTGTGCATGCAATTTCAGGCAATTTCACCCATGTGTAGATTTATGTGAGCACTACCACAGGTCAGTGAGGGACTTTTAATAAAATATTTTCTTATGATTTTTCTGAATTAGTAGATAAGAATTAGAATGCTAGATTAATTTTGCCTGTGTAGTTTATGCATTTTCAGGACTAGAATCTTGCTTCCTTTCCTATATATGAATAAAATGGTGATTAAAATGCTCTGAACATTGATAACTTATGCCAGTTAATTCTCAACAATTCTCAAAACATAATTGAGGTTTTACCCCATAAGAAACTAACAAAATTAGGGTTAGCTGAGGCAGTCAATCATTATTATAGTCTTTTACCAACACCAAAAGGTGGGCAGAGAGGTCACTGATGTAATTATCTTACAGTAATGAACTTTGGGAGCCTATTAATGCCAAACCAGATCACTGTACTAGTCCACAGAGCCACTGTGGAGTGACTGCAATTCAATTAGTAACTCCACAGAGAGAAAGCAGAATCAGAGATAAACTCTATTGGTTTTGCTTTTGTTTGCAATAAAAAAAAAACAAAGATCATTAGAGTTACAGCCAATCCTTGAACCTTCTGTTCTGTAAAAGTTTCGCAGCTCTGACTTTCCGTCTCCCTTTCCATCTCTGGTAACTATTCTCATTGGCCAGATTCTAGCTTATCCCCAGTGATAGATAGGTAAAAACACTGTTATTGCACTGACATCTCTTCCCATCTTTTGGGTCATGTTTCTGCTATAAACAAGGACACTTGGTATCAACTCCACAGCTAAGGTAGTAGGTTGATAGCTAAATGGATACCTCAGATCTCACAGTTAATACTGCTTTGCAGTAGCACCCATCCAATTTCTTCTAGAAGTTTTGACAAAGTAAATAACCCATCCCCATTTAATACCTCCACATGTATTTTCTCTTTCTCGGTTTCTCATACACACATGCACATATAAACATAGTCACATATGCACACTCAGACACATATAGAGAAAATATTGGAAGCTTCACAGGTATCTTCCTGTGAAAGCTGAATAACTGTTTAGGGAACAGTCATAGCATCCAACATGCTCACAATTTTTGCAAGGAAGCTAAGGTTACTATCAATGCAAATGTCAAAAGTTCACAATGATTGGTGCTAAGCAGAATAAAACAGCATATTAGGAGATGCTTCACGGACATTTTGACTTTGACAATTATATGACTGAAGGTAACTAAACTAGTTCCCTATTGCATACACTTAAATGGGTTTGTAAAGGTGAATACTGGTCATACTAACACTTTCATAGGCTTTAAATGATGGTAGGAACTACTGACTCTAGACCATGATTTCTGTATTCCTAAATATAGACACATATAATGTATACTGCACATTAAAAGTCCTATGTATGCAACATATAAAATAAAGTGATTAAAATGGCAAAAAGTGGTTTGTTAAAGAAAATCACATCAAATTTCATTCCAGACACACATGGGCTGTTAAAAAATAATATAGCAACTGCTCTTTACTCTCTCCCTCTATCAGACCAATTTGTGCACTTCAAATAGGGTGTTGATTAGTAGCAATCAACATATAATTAGCAAAAAAAATGAAGGTCACATTGAGGTTGGGTAGCCTAATTGATCACAATCTGTCCTTTATGATGCTTATGTCACATGCTTGGACCATGCTGGCAGTTAACAAAAAACAATGTATAAAAATATGGCTTGGATCAGTAGATACACTATTGCCTGTCAGACTAAAAGCAAGTCTCCATTACTGGCAACTAAATACATATTCTGACTCAGTTTTAATTCTTTGTTAATCACAAAAGGGCACTTTGAATAAAGCTCCTCATCATTATTTTTGTATCTTCAATTTATATACGTTTAACACTCTAACACAAATCAGGATTAGGTGAGTAGAAGAGAGAGTTACATTGTAGGTTAAAATACTACATTTGTTATGATGAAGGTATGAACTAGTAAATAATTTATGAAACATAAGAGAAAAGCATAATGTGCAAGAATTGTTTTCCATCATGGGAATGATGGATTTGTAAAGTATAGCTGAAGAAATTCCTAGCCTGGGAGTAGGAAGATATTAATTCACTCACTCACTCACTTATTCATTCTTTCATTAAACATATATTTATTGATCATTTACTCTGAGCCTCTTCTAGTCACTGGTAGTAAACAAAACAGATAAAAATCTTTGCCCCCAAGTAGTTTTAACTTCTAGTAGGAGGAGAAAGGTAACAATAAATAAGTAAAATAGTTTGTTATAAGATGATCATAAATCTATGGAGAAAAATTAGGCTAGAAAGGAAACTAGAGGATGATGGGTAGCTGGGTGGTATTCCAATTTTAACTAGGTAGTAAAGGAAGGACTCACTAAAAAGGTAACATTTGAAGAAAGACCTGAAGAAGACTAGAAATCAAGCCAGAGTCACCTGGTGAAACAGTACTCTAGGCAGGGAAAGCAGCAAAGTCAAAGGCTCTGAGGCAGAATCTTTCCAGGATCCTTTGCAGACAACAGATGCCAGTCTGACCCTAGTACAGCGAGCAGAGAGAGAGTAACAGCATGTGAGGTCAGAAAGTTGGGCACCCAGTGAAGGGTCTTGTTAGGCTACCATTAGTTCTTCGGTTTTTAATCTGCTTAATTTGGGATACTCTGTGGGGGTGGGTGCTTTGATCAAAGGAGAGACATAATGTAACTGTTATGTTTATATTTAGTATTTATGTTTAGTTTATATTTAGTATGATCACATCAGCTGCGGGGTAGAAGAGACTGTCAGGGGAGGAAAAGGGAGGGGCAAGGACAGAGGCAGAGACCAGTCAGGAGGTGGCTGAACTAACCTAGGAAAGAGATAATGGTTCCTTGAAAAAAAGGAAAGAGATGATAAGAGTTTGGAGACTAGACAAATTAGCTGACAGCTCAAACATGAGTGTGATAGAGGGGGCAAAAGGAATTAAGGATGATTCTGTGGAATCTGGAGCTGGCCTTAATTGAACTAGAGAGAATTGTATAGGTTGGGGAACAATTTTAGGGATGAGGTCAGAGATTAGGAACTAAGTTTTGGACATGTTAAAGTTGAGATATTAACAAAAGATCTACGTAGAGGCATCGTATAGGTGGTTAGATAAAAAGATCAGGAGTTCAGTGAGCAGACTTACCTGGAGATATAAACTAGGGAGGGCAGCACAGAGATAGTGGTAAAATCACAAGGCTAGGTGAGATCACCAGAGGAGTAACTAGATGTAAAAGGACTAAGCTTGGTGGAGGAAGGAACTCCAAAATTTAGAAGATGGTAGAACGGTGAAGAAAAACCAGCAAAGGAGACTGTTAGGGAGTAGCCAGAGGGTTGGGAGGAAACAGAAACATGTGCTCTGGAAGCCAACTGAAGAAACTTTTAAGAAAGAGGATTGATTAACCAATGCTGCTAGATTAAGAAAATGTAGACTGAGCATTGACCATTGGTTTAATAACATGGTATCATTTGGAGGAAACTGGAGTAGGAGTAGAAGCCTAAATGAGAATGAGAACAGAGGATCAAACACACTGAATTTAGACTATACTTCTGAGGAGTTTTGCAAAAAGAAATAATAGCATGCTTGTATATTGATGGGAATGATTTAGTAGAGAGGAAAAATGGTAATAAAATAAAAAACAGGAAATTCCTGGAGTGATGGGCTTCAGTATGTTAGAGAGGATAAGATAATACGCACAAGTGGATGGGCTGGATTTAGGAGAAAAGGCAGAATAATCATGTGACTATAAGTGACAGCATGTAGGCAAGTGGATATTAGTACCGGAGCTTTAAAAAGTTGTTTTGAATGCCTATCTGTATGTTGAATATTGTTCTTGAACGTTGTACTTTCTCAGTGAAAAAGGAAGCAAAATCAGAGGCTGACATGAAATAGAGATTCAAGTCTTGGAGGTTTGAGGTGAGGGGAAAAGAAGAGAAATTGTTTTCTAGGAGAGCAGGCCAGTGAACAGACAAGGAGTCTGCAGCGTGCTCTGTGGGACATTAAGGGCCTACTTGAGGTTAGTTGTTCTGCATTTAAAGAACTGTTGTGTGTGTTTTGTCTAAGAACTAACAGCTGCCTGAGTTCAGGCATGGAGTAGAGAAAGAGATGCATTTAGCAAGATAAAGTTTTGCCAGAAAAGTACAACTAAGTGACATGGGGGCAAAGGAATTGAGGGTTTATATAAGGGAGTGATTTTAAAGATGGAGCATGGAGACTGTCAGGTAAAGAGGGAAATGAAAACATGAAGGAACTAAGTGAATGGTTAAGATCAGTGGTTTATAGGCAGAAAGATTGGAGTCAGAGGCATTGGAATACTAGAGGGCTTGAGATAATCACGGTGAGATATTTGAAATTGAGATTACAAGGTGTTAATTACTGGTACTGATGAGGTCAAGGATTTGACCTTGGGAATGGGGTGGCTGGACTAGAAAATAAGGTCTTGTGGTACAGGTGGTCACAGAACTAGGATGCCAATATCCCAAGTTGGTTTTAGTCTCAGCAGAAAATAAGATATCAAAGATTTTTCTGAGAGAGATGAGAAAGCAACTTTATGAACTAGTTCTAGGTAAGGTCTTTGGGTGTGGCTTACTGTCATGTGGGACCATGAAGAAGTAAGTTAGAAGCCTACTAAATTTTTGAGGTGATTGTACAGCCAAAGAATTCATGACCTAACCTGAAAAGGCCTTTGACTATTAAAATAATCTTTGAGCTGCTAAATCTGTATAATAGGAAGAGGGCTTCAAGCTCTATGGCCCCCAAGAGGACATATTTCTAATGCTCAGCAACAGTGTAGCCTAAGGCCAACAGACAGTACGCAACCTCCCAAGTTGTCAAGTAAAGGATCATAGAAAGCACTTGAGAAGAAAGTTCCTCTCAGAGAACACAGTCCAGGTCGAATAAAAGACTACTGTCCAGGGCTATGTACAGCATTTATTACCCCTCACTTAGTGAAAAGGAATTTGCATTCTAATTTTCCTAGCTGTGTTCCTCACTGTGCATTTAGTATCAAAATCTGATGGACAGAGTACCCATCACCCATTGATCCTGGACCTTGGGTCCCTGACTTGTCTCCCTTAGGAAGAAGAAGGGTGTTCTGGAGGACAGAGAGGTAGAGTATGGGAGACACAGCTAACTGCCCACCGAAGTTTGTGCTTGTTGTTCCATTTGTCCCATAGTACAGGAGAGACTGCTCAGCCTGCAACACATTGCTTTATTCCCTCATTCTTGAATCTAGCTGTGAGCACATAAAACTAATATATCTAGGGCATATGAGTAGAAATGCAACATGTGACACTTCCTATCCAAGGCTTTCACGAACAGAGGTCCCTTATTTGTCCTTTCTGTTTCCTCTGGCAGCTGGATACAGATGAGGAGGAGGACTTCAGTGAGGGCAGATTCACCAGGAGAAAGGAGCCTGAGGAGCGGCCCTCTGACCGCAAATACCAGCCTTATATTGTTACATGGCCCAAGATAGACCTTATTACGTTAAGTCACTGCAAAAGGGGCTTATTATTTACAGGAGCTAGCTTTACTCTTCCTAATGCTGACTTTGAGAAAAGTATCTCTACTTCTCTGGGCTGCAGTTTGTTCATTTATTAAAACAGGTGGTTGGAGGAGAAAAATCACCAAGGTTTCTCGGTGATGCTAAAATGATTAATCTTCACTTCATTTTTATTGTGTATGAACAAACATGAGCTCATACCTACATCTTTCCACCTTCCATTAATTCATCATTAGCCACACAAAAAGAGAATTCAAATGGAATTTCTGAATTCTTTCATTCAAGAATGTTCCAAATTGCTAACACTACCAGTGAGGCTTTTTTTTTTTTTTTTTTTGCCTTACCTGTGTGGTAGGGCACTGTAGGTTTACCATCACTGAGGGACTGGAACAGCTGAACAGGTTAAAGTAAAACAAAACTGTCTTGTTCCTGTGAAGAAATTAAATAAATAAATAAAGCAATCTTTTTAGTGACTATGAAAATGTTCCATATCATTTCTAACTCTACAGTTTTAACATAATATGACCTTTAAAAATCAGCTTCATTTCCTCTAGACAGCTGCAATATATTCCCCAATTCACCCTTAGGCTGCCTAACATTTAAGGCACTTTTCTGTCATAGGAAAAAGTTGAAATAATCAAATTGTCCCTCAATGAGGGATTGAATTCCATATCCACAAAGTGGAAAAACCACATTGTCACTGAAAATAATGTTGAAGAAAATGTTTAATAGATATGTAAATTCTACAATTATACAAGACCTAAATTTTAGGAAGCAGGTTACTAAATGGCATTAACGTCCAATTTGATTTTAATTCTTCAAAAACTGGTAAAACATATGCAGAAACAAATTATTATATCTGAATGGTGGAATTATGTTTTGTTACCTAATTTTTTGGCTTTCCTAAAATAAACATTATTATGAGGTAATATTTAAAAAGATGAAGTCAGCGATATTTTCTCTCCATTCAGAGTTCTGGTCAGTAGCATATTTTGGAACAGGTTGATATTCACTATCACCAGCACTGAGTAGGGTATTACTCTGCCATTTGGAAAGCCATGGTCCTTTTTTGAATATTAATTTCATCATCAGTGAAATGGGGATGGTACCAGCCTTACTTCAAAGTGGGGCTGGGAGGACACAAAATAATATGCAATAGACTCGAGACAAGTGGTTATCCAATTTTAGTATGCATCAGTAAAACTTGGGGGCTTTGTTGGAAATCGTGATTCCTGACTCCTTCCCAACCTTGAGAGTCCAAATCTCAGGATATGGGTCCCAGGAATTCACATTTCCTCTCTATGTTCCCAAGTAGATTCAGAGTCAGGTGGTCTATAAGCCACACCTTGAGAGAACACAGCCCTAAACACTCAAAGTGTTCCCTGCACTTTGTCAAGTTCCCAGTTAATTACTGTGACTACATACATAGCATAAAATGCACAATAGGCTGCTGATGAAAACTTTTCCTACTGACTCAGAATCACCAAGTAGGATCCAAATCCAAGGATAAAGAAAACTCTCCACAAAAAAAGTGTGGGCTAGATCCTCACCAGTTCTATCCATTTCCTGCCCCTGTCTACACAAGCAAAAGGTTGGGGGAGGGTAGGGGACTGGAGGCAGCAGAGCTGGCCGGATAACTTAATTAGGAGGATTTTCCCTCCTGTCCTCACTGAAAGGGTGGATTGTCTCTTCCGAATTCCAAATTACAGAGGGCTCTGAGATCATGGAGACTGACGGTACCTGTAGGAAGGGCAGACCAGCATCTCACTTTCCACTTGGACACCTTTTATAGGGCAGATTTACTAGTCGGCCCTCTGTGCCCATTTTAGGAGGGAGAAATGAGACTCAAAGAGAGCACCAGTGAGCTGAAAAACCAGTGGAGCAGAAACAGGGCAACATTAAAGCAGTCTGACTCGGAAGATGTGGATCCAAATGGTACGTCCTCCCACAACAGAGACTGGGGGTGGATCACCAGGGACGGAGCTGAAGAAAAGTCAAAGCTGATCTCTCCAACCAAAGAGCTATTCAGTGAGGACTCCCCGAGAGAATTTCCACTTGTACTCCATAAGAGAGCCAGCCTTTGTCCACAAAAAGTACAGATGGCTAGTTAGTTATGTCTTAGTTGTGTGGCAACAGCCACGTGGGACAGGGCAGCAGCTAGGAAAGCAGCCGACACTCCTCCTCCTTCCGTCCCCCAAACACAAAGAAAGAGCTACAAGCAGAGGAAGGGCCGAAAGGGAACAGGCGGGCCAGGCCTTCTCTTCTGCTTCCAGTTCCCTTGCAGACCTCAAAGCTGAGCTGGGGGATTGGAGGAAATGAGATTCCAATTTTAAATTGGACTGAACTTTTTAACAACAGAAAGTATCCGGGAAGCTGTGGAATCTACCTCAGATGTCAAGGTGAGAAGAAGAGAGACTGAAAAGTACATTGTTAAAGGCAATTAATTGTAGGGGGAAAGTAAACCCATTTCATATTTGTAATCTTATCAAATTTGGATGGCTTAAGAATCTGCTTATAAATTCATCCACAGTATGCACAAGGCTGCTTCATAATTTCACAAGAGTCAGCTTGGCTCTCTTACCACCCAGGCAACTATATCATCCACAGCCTCATGGCACATGCCATTCAAGTTTGTATCTAAGCAAATGAATAAATTATTACATGTCATGGATCACTGGAGTCCCTTAGGAGTAGTTAAAACTGTGAATGGTAAATTAGTAAGTGTCAAGAGGCCCGCATAGGTAAAATTGATTTATAAACTGCAAAATGCTACATAAACTCAAGTCATTTACCAGATTATCCTCAAGGGTAAGGTTTATACCTTACTCATCTTTACATCCCTACGTTGCCAACATTTAGCTTAGTACTCGGCGCATTCTAGGTACTTACCAAATATGGTAGAATGAATGAGGCCAATTCCAGAATAGTTTTTTTTTAATCTTATAATCCTTCTTAGTTTTTTGGTACAATTCTATAGTCATTTTATCACTGTGTTTGATATCCTTAAGCTTTAGTAGGCCTCAGATTCCTTAGGTACAAAGTAGATGGTGATGGTTGCAGTTGAGCAAGTCTATGGAAGTGGTTGAGGAAGTAGCTCATTAGTTAACTTGAATTATATTTCTACCAGGAAACAACAAAATAGAAACTGCAAACTCTATTGAAGACCATGTACCATGTGTTTAAGTCCATCTCTTTTCTTTCTTTAGACTCACGGAAATAAACAAAAAAATGTAAAAAAAGGAATAAACCTTACAATTCTAGCTGAGGATGTGGAGGATGAGATCTCATAATTGCACAAGAGGGTTGAACAATTTCTGGAAGATGGAAAGCATATAACAGTGTGTTGAATGATGATACACTACAGAGGGTCTACAAAAAGGGTGGGATATGATGTGCCTATCAGAAATCATGAAATACTCTGGACTCAGAATTGGCAGTGAGAAATGTGGGTGAAAATGAGATTAATTGAAGGTTTACATAGAGATCCACGGTGTAAATCAGTACCTCTGTGTTTCTCCCATACCCTTACACTTACAATTCTAGCATCCAAGAAAAATAGGCAAAAACTGAGACATCATTTGTTGAATGAACCCTCTGGGGTTAACAAGGGCTTTTGTTGGATTTGTTATCCCAGCCTTTATATTCTGACATTTTGAGAGACCTGCCTAACAGCCAACTTCCGCCCAGTTCATACTGAAGTGAAATCTGACACCCAGCATAGCCCCATCACCCCACCCAGGGCAGAGGTCTCCCTGGGAAACTGACCTCCTAACACAGCAGCAGAGCAAATTCACACAGGCAAACAAGCTCTTTCTTTCCTAAGACTGGATAATCAAGTACCATCAAGAATGTTAGTGGGCTCAGAATATGAAAGAGAAAGAATAAGGTAAATGAAAACTGATGCTGGATGAAATAAAAATAATTCAGAGCATACGAGGGGCCTTTAAAAAACACCCAGTATTTCAGAGTGATTCAAGCAGATTATCCATAAAACAAAAACAGTATATTATTAAAAAAGAATAATTAGAGAAGAATAGGCCTTTTAGAGATTAAAAATATGACCGCCAATATTTTAAAATCAAAATAACTAGAAAAAATTGAGAAAAACCTTCTTGGACATAGAATAAAAGGTCAGAGATGGAAAGCAGAAGGAAAAAAAAAAAACACAAAAAAACAAAAGAGGCATTGAGACTACTCCAGGTGGTCCAAGATATGACCAACCAAGTTCCAAAAAAAGAACCAATAAAATGAAAAGAATGAAAACAGCAAAGAAATAACTGAAGAAAATTTTACAGAGTTGATAAAAGTCCTAGTTTTTCAGAACTCAAGGACCCATAGAGGACTGAACAAAAAAAATATTTCGAAAAGACCCACATGAAATTGTGAGATTTCACAATACCAAGAATAAAGAAATGATTTTAAATGCTTTCCAAGACTAAAAAAGTCACCAGAAGGCATGTGAATCCGGGCATTAGACACACTGGATTCCAAAAACAGTGGGACAATGTCTTCAAATTTCTGACAGGATGTGTCTTTCAAGTTACAATTCTATCACTAGACCATCATCAACTGTAAGGAGAGAAAATAAAAACATTTCCAGGGACTCAGCAAACTTACTTCCTGTACTTCCTTTTCTTAGGAAGATCATTGAGAATGCTCTTCATCAAAACAAGGGTGTTGATAAAGAAAGCAAACAGCTTGGAATACCGGAAACAGTGCATGGGACACACTTGCACTAAAAAAGTTATTTATTGTTTATCTAAAATTAAAAGTTAATTGGGTATATTGTTGTGTTTTTATTTGCTAAATACAGCAACTCTACAAGCAGGATCCAATCTAATGAGGTAGAGAAGCCCCAGAATTAAAGCTATTCAGTAGGCCTAAAAGTTCCCAGGTCCTGCATAGAATAAAAGGGAAGAAGCTCTCCAAGGTAGGTCTTCAGAGAGAAGGGGGGTCTCTGAAAAATAGTGTGATTGGGATGGTAGAAAAACATGTGGTCCTGATATAGACTACTCAAGAAAAACTTGCTGGCAAACAAAACATTATACAAGAATGGCATTGCCTTATGTTAAAGCAAACTAAAATAAATACAGGATGATGCCAAACTGCTAATCAACTGTAAGGTTAAACTTTGATATCAATGACACAGCAGAAATGAAAATGTAATGGCTGGAAGTGAATAAAGTTTACATAGTTATAACATGCTTCCATCTTCGAGAATCAACCTGCTATTCAACATGGAATATCCTGATAGAGTTGCTGAACTGACTTTTTTAACAAATTTGAACATGTAAAGGGTAAATACAGAAAGTAGAAAGTGGAATGAAAAAGAAAAGAAGGGCAGCGAGGATAAAATCCTCCTCTTTTATTAAGAGGAGTCAAGACATTGACAAAAGTTAGAACAAGAAAGAGAGGCATTAGAATACTAT